GGAATGTAATGAAACTGTTCTTTTTCTGTATTTATTGTTATTTCTAGGTCATTGCTCAATATTTAATGTCGTAATTATTCACTGTGCAGGCTGAGTACGTTATGATCTGAGAGTGTGAATGTTTTCCATAGGAAAGGGCTGTACATACCATTCACGTAAGCGATCAAGTTTTGGTGGCATCACACTAACTATGAAAACGCCAAACAGTGCCAAAATGTAGTTCTAACACATTCGTTACACTGTGACTTTATATCGACTATGATTGTCACGTTACTTGCTGAGTTGCATATTCAAAATCAACGTGCTACTCCACTTTATGTGCATTTTAATTATGATTTTCATACCCTCCAGTGGAACAGCATTATGTCTGCGGACTTACAACACTAGAAACCGGGTTTCGATACCCGTGGTGGGCAGAGCACAGATAGCCCATTGTGTAGCTTTGTGCTTAACTTCAAACGAACTATTATTGTGTAGTGGGTTAAGGCTTTAACTGAATAATTAATAACAACTTCCGATCAGATAAAGTTATATAATTAGAACGAAACAACAAATCAGCCTGGCAATCAATATAGCTCATTAAGTATACCTTTTTTACGTGTTTACTTGAAATAACTGATTCTTATTTTTACATCAGTGGGTACCCTCGCTGTTAACAATATTTTCGGCCGTATTTACAAAGAAGTCCCAAAGGTGACCTGTTGGATTCTTGCTGATCATTTCATTACTTCTGTAATTCATTGTTCACGACAGAGCAGCGCAATCCTAGCAGTATGACATTGAACATCTTCCTGTTTTACGAAGTTAGTCCGAATGCAACAGTATTGTTCAGCAGTAAATCCACTCCTCAAAAACATATTAACATCCATAGTTACATTCATACTGACGCTTCCCAACACAAGCAAGTGAAATGTCATATATGTTCCAATGATTATACTGTTCATAAAGACTTAACCTATTGATCACTGGTAGAAACATGAAACATTGATACAACTGCTAAGAATACAGGCGCCTAATGGCATTGCTGTCAATTTTAATTATCTTGGCGAAACCTGAAATGGCCTGTGCTGCGTTATGCGGTCAAATGGGAATTGAAACAGGTTTCCTGAAGTCTGTTTCTTATCGTTTCGCCACTGATAATCACTTCAGTATCGTTTCTAAATCCATGTGGAGTTTATGGGCAGAAAAAGACGATCCCTAACGGCCATGTTGTACAGATAGCAGTTACTAAATGGCGTATACTTGGCCTTCCACGACCAGAATGGTTAGTGTCAACAATCTTGCTGATAAGAATCTGAAGATACGAAAATAAGTAGCAACTTATATGTGTGTTTGCCCAGTTTCTATTCCATCATAAACCTTCTTCGGCCACTAGCAGCGAACATTATCATACAAATATAATGAAACAATAATCACATAAACAGCACATCTGAAGATGAAATTGACGAGCTCTCTTTCTCGGGTGAAAAAAAACAAAAAAAAACGTGTGAAATGTGCCAAATAAGGACACGTGACACATGCAATGACAACTCAAACTTTAGAATGCTATCCAGGTGTAGTTTTTAAGACCCTACTATTATTGTGGAGTATATATATATATATATTATGGTTTGCTTTGCATCTGTTCATTACTATTTCCGATATATTATACTTACTTAAACTCAAACAGAGGCAGCGATAGGTGCTTAAAAGATTTGGGGCTCGGGCCCATAGGCGAAGGAATTTTAGGCGTTTCAGTATGATATCGATCATGGTTTTTTATTCTGAATTTTCCAGACACCAACTGGGGATTCGGGGCACTGTCAAATAGAATCGGCACACGGCTCCGTGTACCAGCGCCTAGCGACACCTCTGAATTGAATCATTTTATCTCAAATCTTAACAAAAAGTGAGATAGAAGTGAAATATGTGAAAAAATCTGGTAAGTATATAACAAAAGTACTTGCTGTTGATATTTTCATTCGATTTTCACTATTATAAGCTCCACAGGATAAACAGTATCCTAACTGCACAGAATAAGTTACGCTGGGCCCTTGTTCATTTCTACTGGGTTTTTTTTTCTTAACATGAAACTTCTATATAAGTTAAGTTTAAGCTTTATCTTGACGCTCTAGAACCTCATTCTGAAACGTATAACCAATCACAGTCTTTACACCTCGTGGAAAAATTTAGTTTCAATGTGTACAAAGTTTTTTTGAAATCATAGTTAGTGTCATGCTGAAAACGTACGTTAATGTTTCATATTTACCTTTGTTATGTAATTTCTTTCTTGCATAACGAGTGTATTCTCAGACTTTAGCTATCTCGTTTATGAAGTATTAACCCCGCATGCTAAAAAAAAAAGGCTTATCTACGCTGGAAATAACTCTCTTCATACGTGCAGGGAGACCACCTAGTCAGCTACAAACATCTTAGTTCAAGAATATACAGTGTACATAGTTCGCTTGGAGATTGACAGGAATGCAAATACATTTGACTAAAGTACCAGACGTGACAGGTCGGAAACTAATGGCCATTATCAAGTGGTCTCAGAGACAAATTGTAAAGAGAACGAGGAGAAAATCAACCTGAGGGCCTAGTGAGGTGACCTCTGTCCGTCCCGTCTAGGAATTACTTAAGTAGAAAAAGGGATTGTGTGTCAATGTATCGTGGATTTTATAAATCCCACATTAAGTAAAATTTTTTCCTACATGTCAGGGACATTAGATATGGTACAATCACCTAAGTTCTATTTATTTCTGTTATATAACACATTTTATGCTAGACCAACGTTCAAAGCATTCTTCCTTCACTGAACATAATTAAACAACATGGCATCCAAAAAAATAAGTCAGTGTGCTAACTAAACTATGCTTGGCCAGCAGAGTAAGGAAAGAATATAGAAACGGTGGCATACCGACAGGTTAAATGTTCTTGGTATATATAAGTCCAAGCAACATGTGACACACCCATAATTCCAAATTCCTCTATTAACTAACACGTATATGTATATTATAATATTAACTTCGAACATTCCCAACTAAAGTTACATTACAGTGATTTGTATTTTATTCAGCTGTTGAATTAGTAATCACTGTCTGCTGTTTCCTGTTTCTATACTAGTACAAATTGTTACTTTCGGTTATCGAATGTTAAACGCAATTCTTGTCCAAATTGAACTCTTCTGTATTCAGATAGGTATCTATTGTAGTTCGTATATACAAAATAAATATCATTTTAAATACGTTTTAGTCTATTTTCACTAAATGCAATCAAATTCTAATAAATGTTTACGCTTGTGAGAAATGAAACTAATACTGCATTTAGACTGTCACTCGTCTTATGTAATTAACTTTTAACCCGCTTGCTAAACTCATACTGTAATACACAAGGGTATTATGACTCAACCACCTTTTCATCCAACACATTCTGTTAGTATTATACATAACCACTTGTTGTATATGATATATGGGTTCTACATGTCCTTTCATGAGGACTAAGTGTTGAGTCTTAACTCCTTAAAGCTATATTCTTACTATAGGTACTAGTTGATGAACCTGACAAATATGGGTTCTATATATATATATATATATATATATA